TTCCACCATGCACACACACACTGGGGTAGGACATCTTTACTGGCCTGGGACACAGAATTGTCCTGAGTGGGATTCCGGCAGGGTCAGTTCTTCTGGCTGGTCACCCTATCCACAGGGACAACCACCAAAACCCAGCGCCACTCTCAGGCATCCAGCGCCCTATCCACGGGACAACCACCAAATCCAGCGCCCACTCTCAGGCATGGCCCGCCCTATCCACTGGGACAACCACCAAATCCAGCGCCACTCTCTCAGGCATGGCCGCCCTATCCACTGGGACAACCACCAAATCCAGAGCGCCACTCTCTCAGGCATGGTCGCCCTCGGATCCACAGGGACAACCGTCAGCTCCTATCTTGGCAGCACCCTCTCGGAATCGTCACCGTGAGTGGAGACTGCGAAAGACAGTACGCGAGGATCAGGAGCGTGTGGCTAAAGGGGAACCGCCTAAAAGCGGCACTACAAGCAAGGCTACCACTATCAGTGTAAAGACTGTGGTCAAGCAAAAAACAAACTTTCTGGCCATACCCAGTTGAAAGGGAAATGGTACTGTCCCGAATCTGGGCAAACCATCACAGAGTGGAAAGCCACCCTTTAAAACTGACTTTGTGTGCCACTTTGTTCAATAACTAATTTTTTATATATTACTAATGTTTATACGTTACTGATGTTTATATGTTTACTGATGTTTATACGTTACTGATGTTTATACGTTACTGATGTTTATACATTACTGATGTTTATATGTTACTGATGTTTATACATTACTGATGTTTATATACGTTACTGATGTTTATACGTTACTGATGTTTTGTCGTTACTGATGTTTGTATGTTAAATCTGAGCTTATGTAATAAAGAGGATTTGGGAAAACAAGTGTGTCTTTCATGTTGATCAAGTATTATTGGTATATCTGTTAGGGATGAGGTTTTTAACTGTTATTAACTGTCATTTTTGAGAACACTAGGATGGATAGATAACTTTTTTCTCCTCCCCTCTTTCCCTCCCTCTTTCCCCCCTTTTCCCCCCTTTTCCCCCATGCCTAGCAGTCCCTTTTGCCCTGTTTTTGGCCGAGAGGTTAAGGCGATGGACTGCTAATCCATTGTGCTCTGCACGCGTGGGTTCGAGTCCCACCCTCATCGCAGACAGGTTGTTTTGCCTCCACTTTACAACAACCTCTGGCTTGGGTGCAGTCTGTCTCACACATACAAGGCCTACAGGTGACAGGCTCTGGACAGATCCATGAGACAGAACAAGTGTGGGTGGAGAAACATGAAAAGCTAGAATTGCAATGGCAAACAATGTGCATCACATCCTCCTTTATTCTCCACAGACCCAGACTGGCATGTAATTTCATAAGTGTGAGTTATGTCAGCAATAGGTTAAGTTGATGGACTGCCAATCTGCGGTGCACAGTCTGGATTTGAATCAAGAAGACTTTTAATGCAGGTTTAATGCAAGTTCTCATTCGTAGTTTGACAGACAATACTGTCCAAATTAAACACCATTACATTACAGGAAATAGAAGCACTGATTTCATCAATAAGTGCTACTCTTTGGGGCAGTCTCAGCTGTGTATTTGACATTACTTACTTTGTGTGAGTCCTGCGATGTTGCTCGCTGAAAGTCACCCTAATTGTAGCACATTTACTGCAGTTTTAAAGTAAGTGCTAACAAGCTGGGGGGAATTTCAGTGAATTTGGACACCACAAATGTGGAGTGTGAAACTATAATCACATTCATTGTTGTTGAGATTCTAACTAAAGTGTTTCTCTTTATAAATATCTATTAAAATTCTTGCACATATGCTTAGTGAAACATGTGTTGAAATCTCTTAGAGCAATACTTTTTAATACATCAGTGAGAGCATCATTTGGCTGTGTACCTACTCTCAACCTAGCGTGATAACTGCCTGTCAACGTGTGAATGACCTGGTTCATTCACAAGGAGTGATCTGCCATCATCACTTCTATTGTCACATTGGCTTCTGTGGGTTGGACTGTGAATCATCTCAATTTACGATCAGACTCCAAGCATTGCAATGAACATCACTTGACTCAGGCCCCTCAGAATGAAAAAGTGGTCAACTGGTAAACTCTCAGTGGACAACTTCTAGGAAAGCAGGCATGCACTGATTACATTTGTCATGGTAAACATGGCAGGAGAAGATGCAAAGAAGTAGACCACCTATCTGTCTTATTGTCACCGTTGATATCCTATCAATGGCTCTGACCTTCCTGAATGGTAAGTACTATTTGTTGGGGTGATGTTGGGTGATTCAATCAACTAAAGATACTATATTTTTGTTTACAATGTATTAAACGTTAAACAGTTTGGACAACATCCAATACTTTCAAAAGAAATCACAATTCGATTATTTCGGATAGAGCAAATTTGATTTGCATTACATTCGTAAGTGCTTCTCGTTGGGGCGCGTCTCATCTGTGTATTTGACTTTACTGTCTTCTGTGACTGCTGCAATGTATCTCTGGATGTTACCCCAATTGTATCACATATACTTCAGTTTTAATGTGATTTTCTGAAAGCCTTGATACCTTTCAGTGACAGCAATAATATGAAATTACTGTCTTCTGTGACTGCTGCAATGTATCTCTGGATGTTACCCCAATTGTATCACATATACTTCAGTTTTAATGTGATTTTCTGAAAGCCTTGATACCTTTCAGTGACAGCAATTATATGAAATGTTGAAACGGTGACATTTTTTCACTTCATACAGATTAAGTTGAACTGTTCCCAGTGAATTTGGTGAAATTTATTCTGCCAACTGTGTGTTTGTTTGTTTTTTTCTTCACATGAACTATCATCAGAGCTATTGTCCCTTTCATTTTGATGCTGGGCAGATCCTGAACATTCATTGGAATGACACCGGACTCAGAATGAAAAGCATTGCATTTGTTCAATTGGCAAATTCTCAGTAGCAGGTATGTAACAACTGTGAACAGCAATTAATGCACAGTGAGGAAGATTGTCACTAATGCTAGCCAAGTACTGGCCTGTCTGAAAGGCAAACCAAACTTCAGACGTAGTTGGCGGAGTCGAACCCGCGCGGGGAGACCCCAATGGATTTCTAGTCCATCGCCTTAACCACTGCCGCACAATTATATAAAACAGCCTTGCTTCATCGTCGACCAATGTCTGAACGTATTCCCATGCAATTTGTTTGAGAAAAGTATAGGCTTACTTAGGGACCCTGCTCCAGGTATTTCGGCAACAAAGCAGTGGAGTTGGTTCTTTCTATGCACAGTGCCATCCTGACACACATAAGCTACAGCGTGCGTGGACCATGCCGCGGGGTATAACCAATACTTTCCAAATAAAACACCATTACATTACTTGAAATAGAAGCACTGATTTCATCAATAAGTGCTACTCTTTGGGGGCAGTCTCATCTGTGTATTTGACATTACTTACTTTGTGTAAGTCCTGCCGATGTTTCTCGGCTGAAAGTCACCCTAATTGTAGCACATTTACTGCAGTTTTAAAGTAAGTGCTAGCAAGTTGGGGCATAAGCGTGAGCTGTTAGTTTGAAGGGGAAATCAGTGTCAGGTGTTTTCAGTCTATGGCATAACCAAGCCACCTTCTTACTTGCTCAAAGGGTGCAACGGTTAATACACATCATTTAATACTTGACGTAAAACACAGTTACAAAACATTTAACTCAAAGGAGCTACCCACTCACCAGCGGTAGCAGTCAGGAATTCCAGGAAATATCCCGTTTTACCATTAAATACATTTCTAGTATGTTAAGAGAGATAATACACTTTAGTCGTTAGCTTACATTTAGTGTGAATGGTTGAGGCAGCGGCCTAACCATTCTATTGGACCGCTCTTTACAAGCCTTAGCAGGAATGGAGCGTAAGACAGGGCTTAAGTGCAACTCCTTGGCCAAGCATCTTTTCAAGCCTTTTCAAGCCATTTCTAACCCCAACCCTAAGCTGTACATGATGTGAAAGAAAACGTGATTCCTCAGACCAAGCCACCTTCTTACTGCTCCACTGTCCTGTGCTGATGCTCATGTGCAGTTTCTATGAGCTTTTGATGGAAGAAACTGGCCAGCATAGCTAGTGTAGAGGCCACCATTTTTCTTGGTTTTCGTCCCTGGTTGTCTAGTGGTAAGGATTCGGCGCGCTCCCACAACCGTCTTTCAGTGCGTAAGTAGGATTTCCTGTTAGTATAGTGGACGGTATCTCCGCCTGTCACGCGGAAGACCGGGTTCGATTCCCGACGGGGAGTCTGTTTGCTAACACCGGTGCTCTATTCTTTTGCACACCACGCGAAAGAACCATGAGACGAGGCTTAAGTGCAATTCCTTGGCTTTTTATGTTTTGGTCATTTCCCGCGCAAGCGTCTTTTACAAGCCTTACCAGGAATGGACGTAAGACAAGGCTTAAGTGCAACTCCTTGGCCAAGCGGCTTTACAAGCCTTACCAAGAATGGAGAGTAAGACAAGGCTTAAGTGCAACTCCTGGGAGCAGCGTCTTTTCAAGCCTTTTCAAGCCTTATATCCCTTTTACCATTAAATACATTTCTAGTATGTTAAGAGAGATAATACACTTTAGTCGTTAGCTTACATTTAGTGTGAATGGCTGAGCGGCGTGGCCTAACCATTCTATCGGACTGTCTTTACAAGCCTTAGCAGGAATGGAGCGTAAGACACGGCTTAAGTGCAACTCCTTGGCAAGCGGCTTTACAAGCCTTTTCAAGCCATTTCTAACCCCAAACCCTAAGCTGTACATGATGTGAAAGAAAACGTGATTCCTCAGACCAAGCCACCTTCTTACTGCTCCACTGTCCTGTGCAGTTTCGTGTTTTGATGGAAGAAACCTTAACACAGCGCCTTAGACCACTTGACCATCCTGACTAAAAGACCCAAAAACTATGCAAAGGAAATTCCAAACTATGCAGGGCATTTATTTAAACAAGCTCTCAGGAACAGCCCAATACCCCCTCATCAGAGGTGCAGCAAAGGAACCAAATGTCAGAAATGGGATTTGAACCCACGCCCAGGGGAGACCGCGACCTGAACGCAGCGCCTTAGACCCCGGGCCATCCTGACACACTTAAGCTACAGTGTCGTGGACCATGCTCGGGTATAGCCAATACTTTCCAAATAAAGCACAATTAGATTACTTGAAATAGAAGCACTGATTTCATCAATAAGTGCTACTCTTTGGGGCAGTCTCATCTGTGTATTTGTCATTACTTACTTTGTGTGAGTCCTACGATGTTTCTCGGCTGAAAGTCACCCTAATTGTAGCACATTTACTGCAGTTATAAAGTAAGTGCTAGCAAGTTGGGGGAAGCGAGCTGTTAGCAGTTTTATTTTGAAGGGGAAATCAGTGTCAGGTGTTTTCGTAGTGCGCACAATCAAAGGTGTGAGTGAGTACCATGTCTGATTTGAGGAACAGGGATCAGTCAAAGTCTGACCTTCACAACACATGTTTGTTAAAGTGTATCATGCTAGGCAAAAATTTTATTTGTGAGGATCTGGGAAAAGGCTTTCGGATGAGGTGGCCGAGAGGTTAAGGCGATGGACTGCTAATCCATTGTGCTCTGCACGTGGGTTCGAGTCCCACCTCAACGCGAGACAGGTTGTTTTGCCTCCACTTTACAACAACCTCTGGCTTGGGTGCAGTCTGTCTCACACATACAAGGCCTACAGGTGACAGGCTCTGGACAGATCCATGAGACAGAACAAGTGTGGGTGGAGAAACATGAAAAGCTAGAATTGCAATGGCAAACAATGTGCATCACATCCTCTTTATTCTCCACAGACTCCACAGACTGGCATGTAATTTCATAAGTGTGAGTTATGTCAGCAATAGGTTAAGTTGATGGACTGCCAATCTGCTGTGCAGAGTCTGGATTTGAATCAAGAAGACTTTTAATGCAGGTTTAATGCAAGTTCTCATTCGTAGTTTGACAGACAATACTGTCCAAATTAAACACCATTACATTACAGGAAATAGAAGCACTGATTTCATCAATAAGTGCTACTCTTTGGGGGCAGTCTCAGCTGTGTATTTGACATTACTTACTTTGTGTGAGTCCTGATGAGTTTTCGGCTGAAAGTCACCCTAATTGTAGCACATTTACTGCAGTTTTAAAGTAAGTGCTAACAAGCTGGGGCAACTTTCAGTGAATTTGGACACCACAAATGTGGAGTGTGAAACTATAATCACATTCATTGTTGTTGAGATTCTAACTAAAGTGTTTCTCTTTATAAATATCTATTAAAATTCTTGCACATATGCTTAGTGAAACATGTGTTGAAATCTCTTAGAGCAATACTTTTTATACATCAGTGAGAGCATCATTTGGCTGTGTACCTACTCTCAACCTAGCGTGATAACTGCCTGTCAACGTGTGAATGACCTGGTTCATTCACAAGGAGTGATCTGCCATCATCACTTCTATTGTCACATTGGCTTCTGTGGGTTGGACTGTGAATCATCTCAATTTACGATCAGACTCCAAGCATTGCAATGAACATCACTTGACTCAGGCCCCCCAGAATGAAAAAGTGGTCAACTGGTAAACTCTCAGTGGACAACTTCTAGGAAAGCAGGCATGCACTGATTACATTTGTCATGGTAAACATGGCAGGAGAAGATGCAAAGAAGTAGACCACCTATCTGTCTTATTGTCACCGTTGATATCCTATCAATGGCTCTGACCTTCCTGAATGGTAAGTACTATTTGTTGGGGTGATGTTGGGTGATTCAATCAACTAAAGATACTATATTTTTGGTTTACAATGTATTAAACGTTAAACAGTTTGGACAACATCCAATACTTTCAAAAAGAAATCACAATTCGGACACTTCAAATAGGAGCAACTTGATTTGCATTACATTCGTAAGTGCTCCTCGTTGGGGCGGTCTCCTCTGTGTATTTGACTTTACTGTCTTCTGTGACTGCTGCAATGTATCTCTGGATGTTACCCCAATTGTATCACACATACTTCAGTTTTAATGTGATTTTCTGAAAGCCTTGATACCTTTCAGTGACAGCAATAATATGAAATTACTGTCTTCTGTGACTGCTGCAATGTATCTCTGGATGTTACCCCAATTGTATCACATATACTTCAGTTTTACGGTGATTTTCTGAAAGCCTTGATACCTTTCAGTGACAGCAATTATATGAAATGTTGAAACGGTGACATTTTTTCACTTCATACAGATTAAGTTGAACTGTTCCCAGTGAGTTTGGTGAAATTTATTCTGCCAACTGTGTGTTTGTTTTTTTTTCTTCACATGAACTATCATCAGAGCTATTGTCCCTTTCCATTTTGATGCTGGGCAGATCCTGAACATTCATTGGAATGACACCGGACTCAGAATGAAAAGCATTGCATTTGTTCAATTGGCAAATTCTCAGTAGCAGGTATGTAACAACTGTGAACAGCAATTAATGCACAGTGAGGAAGATTGTCACTAATGCTAGCCAAGTACTGGCCTGTCTGAAAGGCAAACCAAACTTCAGACGTAGTTGGCAGGAGTCGAACCTGCGGGGAGACCCCAATGGATTTCTAGTCCATCGCCTTAACCACTGCCACAACTACATAAAACAGCCTTGCTTCATCGCGTACCAATGTCTGAACGTATTCCCATGCAATTTGTTTGAGAAAAGTATAGGCTTCACTTAGGGACCCTGCTCAGGTATTTCGGCAACAAAGCAGTGGAGTTGGTTCTTTCTATGCACAGTGCCATCCTGACACACATAAGCTACAGCGTCGTGGACCATGCTCGGGTATAACCAATACTTTCCAAATAAAACACCATTACATAACTTGAAATAGAAGCACTGATTTCATCAATAAGTGCTACTCTTTGGGGCAGTCTCATCTGTGTATTTGACATTACTTACTTTGTGTGAGTCCTGCGATGTTTCTCGGCTGAAAGTCACCCTAATTGTAGCACATTTACTGCAGTTTTAAAGTAAGTGCTAGCAAGTTGGGGTACAAGCGTGAGCTGTTAGTTTGAAGGGGAAATCAGTGTCAGGTGTTTTCAGTCTATGGCATAACCAAGCCACCTTCTTACCTTCTTACCTTCTTACCTTGGCCAAGCATCTTTTCCAAGCCTTAGCAGGAATGGAGAGAACAAGTAGCAACAAGTGTACAACTCCTTGGCCAAGCGTCTTTTCAAGCCTTTTCAAGCCATTTCTAACCCCAACCCTAAGCTGTACATGATGTGAAAGAAAACGTGATTCCTCAGACCAAGCCACCTTCTTACTGCTCAAGGGTGCAACGGTTAATACACATCATTTAATACTTGACGTAAAACACAGTTACAAAACATTTAACTCAAAGGAGCTACGCCACTCACCAGCGGCGTCAGTAGTTGCATTCCAGCAAATATCCTGTTTTACCATTTAATACATTTCTAGTATTTTTAAGAGAGATAATACAGTTTAGTTGTTAGCTTACATTTAGTGTGAATGGTTGAGCAGCGGGCTCTAACCATTCTATTGGACCGTCTTTACAAGCCTTTCCAGGGATGGAGCGTAAGACAAGGCTTAAGTGCAACTCCTTGGCCAAAGCGTCTTTACAAGCCTTACCAGGAATGGAGCGTAAGACAAGGATTAAGGTGCAACCCCTTGGCCAAGCGTCCTTTTCAAGCCTTACCAGGAATTGAGCGTAAGACCGATTAAGTGTAACTCCTGGGCAAAGCGTCTTTTCAAGCCTTTTCGAGCCATTTCTAACCCCAATAAAGTTTATTATTATTATTATTATTATTATTATTATTAACCCTAAGCTGTACAACGTGTGAAAGAAAACATGATTCCTCAGACCAAGCCACCTTCTTACTGCTCCATGGTCCTGTGGGATGCTCATGTGATTTTCTATGAGCTTTGATGGAAGACACTGGCCAGCATAACCAGTGTAGAGGCCACCATTTTCTTGGTTTTCATCCTTGGTTGTCTAGTGGTAAGACCGGTGTTTAAGTTGTATAAACACAATCATACATATATAAACACAATCACGAGCGACGCCCTCAGGAAACACAAGCACATGAATAAGGCAGGTAATCAAACTAAACCCAACACCTGCCGTGAGATCACATTCACACTAACCACACCTGCCCGACTCAACTGCACCCCAGCATGTCAACTACATTATGAACAGTCTTATCAACAAAGTGCAGCATGTCAGAAGTGGGATTTGAACCCACACCTCCAGAAGAGACTGAAACCTTAACACAGCGCCTTAGACCACTCGACCATCCTGACTAAAAAGACCCAAAAAACTATGCAAAGGAAATTCCAAACTATGCAGGGGCATTTATTTAAACAAGCTCTCAGGAACAGCCCAATACCCCCTCATCAGAGGTGCAGCAAAGGAACCAAATGTCAGAAATGGGATTTGAACCCACGCCTCCAGGGGGAGACTGCGACCTGAACGCAGCGCCTTAGACCGCTCGGCCATCCTGACACACTTAGGTTACAGTGTCGTGGACCATGCTCGGGTATAGCCAATACTTTCCAAATAAAGCACAATTAGATTACTTGAAATAGAAGCACTGATTTCATCAATAAGTGCTACTCTTTGGGGCAGTCTCATCTGTGTATTTGTCATTACTTACTTTGTGTGAGTCCTGCGATGTTTCTCGTCGAAAGTCACCCCTAATTGTAGCACATTTACTGCAGTTTTAAAGTAAGTGCTAGCAAGTTGGGGTATAAGCGTGAGCTGTTAGTTTGAAGGGGAAATCAGTGTCAGGTGTTTTCAGTCTATGGCATAACAATCAGGTGTGAGTGAGCACCATGTCTGATTTGAGGAACAGGGATCAGTCAAAGTCTGACCTTCACAACACATGTTTGTTAAAGTGTATCATGCTAGGCAAAAATTTTATTTGTGAGGATCTGGGAAAAGGCTTTCGGATGAGGTGGCCGAGAGGTTAAGGCGATGGACTGCTAATCCATTGTGCTCTGCACGCCGTGGGTTCGAGTCCCACCCTCATCGCAGAGCAGGTTGTTTTGCCTCCACTTTACAACAACCTCTGGCTTGGGTGCAGCGTCTGTCTCACATACAAGGCCTACAGGTGACAGGCTCTGGACAGATCCATGAGACAGAACAAGTGTGGGTGGAGAAACATGAAAAGCTAGAATTGCAATGGCAAACAATGTGCATCACATCCTCCTTTATTCTCCACCCCCCCACAGACTGGCATGTAATTTCACAAGTGTGAGTTATGTCAGCAATAGGTTAAGTTGATGGACTGCCAATCTGCTGTGCACAGTCTGGATTTGAATCAAGAAGACTTTTAATGCAGGTTTAATGCAAGTTCTCATTCGTAGTTTGACAGACAATACTGTCCAAATTAAACACCATTACATTACAGGAAATAGAAGCACTGATTTCATCAATAAGTGCTACTCTTTGGGGCAGTCTCAGCTGTGTATTTGACATTACTTACTTTGTGTGAGTCCTGCGATGCTCGGTTGAAAGTCACCCTAATTGTAGCACATTTACTGCAGTTTTAAAGTAAGTGCTAACAAGCTGGGGCAACTTTCAGTGAATTTGGACACCACAAATGTGGAGTGTGAAACTATAATCACATTCATTGTTGTTGAGATTCTAACTAAAGTGTTTCTCTTTATAAATATCTATTAAAAATCTTGCACATATGCTTAGTGAAACATGTGTTGAAATCTCTTAGAGCAATACTTTTTAATACATCGAGTGAGAGCATCATTTGGCTGTGTACCTACTCTCAACCTAGCGTGATAACTGCTTCGTCAACGTGTGAATGACCTGGTTCATTCACAAGGAGTGATCTGCCATCATCACTTCTATTGTCACATTGGCTTCTGTGGGTTGGACTGTGAATCATCTCAATTTACGATCAGACTCCAAGCATTGCAATGAACATCACTTGACTCAGGCCCCTCAGAATGAAAAAGTGGTCAACTGGTAAACTCTCAGTGGACAACTTCTAGGAAAGCAGGCATGCACTGATTACATTTGTCATGGTAAACATGGCAGGAGAAGATGCAAAGAAGTAGACCACCTATCTGTCTTATTGTCACCGTTGATATCCTATCAATGGCTCTGACCTTCCTGAATGGTAAGTACTATTTGTTGGGGTGATGTTGGGTGATTCAATCAACTAAAGATACTATATTTTTGTTTACAATGTATTAAACGTTAAACAGTTTGGACAACATCCAATACTTTCAAAAGAAATCACAATTCGATTACTTCAAATAGGAGCAACTTGATTTGCATTACATTCGTAAGTGCTTCTCGTTGGGGCGGTCTCCTCTGTGTATTTGACTTTACTGTCTTCTGTGACTGCTGCAATGTATCTCTGGATGTTACCCCAATTGTATCACATATACTTCAGTTTTAATGTGATTTTCTGAAAGCCTTGATACCTTTCAGTGACAGCAATAATATGAAATTACTGTCTTCTGTGACTGCTGCAATGTATCTCTGGATGTTACCCCAATTGTATCACATATACTTCAGTTTTAATGTGATTTTCTGAAAGCCTTGATACCTTTCAGTGACAGCAATTATATGAAATGTTGAAACGGTGACATTTTTTCACTTCATACAGATTAAGTTGAACTGTTCCCAGTGAATTTGGTGAAATTTATTCTGCCAACTGTGTGTTTGTTTGTTTGTTTTTTTCTTCACATGAACTACCATCAGAGCTATTGTCCCTTTTCATTTTGATGCTGGGCAGATCCTGAACATTCATTGGAATGACACCGGACTCAGAATGAAAAGCATTGCATTTGTTCAATTGGCAAATTCTCAGTAGCAGGTATGTAACAACTGTGAACAGCAATTAATGCACAGTGAGGAAGATTGTCACACATCTAGCGCAAGTACTGGCCTGTCTGAAAGGCAAACCAAACTTCAGACGTAGTTGGCAGGAGTCGAACCTGCGCGGGGAGACCCCAATGGATTTCTGGTCCCTCATCGCCTAACCACTCGCATAACAACTACATAAAACAGCCTTGCTTCATCGTCGACCAATGTCTGAACGTATTCCCATGCAATTTGTTTGAGAAAAGTATAGGCTCACTTCGGGACCTGCTGTCAGGTATTTCGGCAACAAAGCAGTGGAGTTGGTTCTTTCTATGCACAGTGCCATCCTGACACACATAAGCTACAGCGCGTGGGACCATGCTCGGGTATAACCAATACTTTCCAAATAAAACACCATTACATTACTTGAAATAGAAGCACTGATTTCATCAATAAGTGCTACTCTTTGGGGCAGTCTCATCTGTGTATTTGACATTACTTACTTTGTGTGAGTCCTGCGATGTTTCTCGGCTGAAAGTCACCCTAATTGTAGCACATTTACTGCAGTTTTAAAGTAAGTGCTAGCAAGTTGGGGCATAACGCTGAG